GTACAGAGAGTAGCCTAGCTGCAACACAGGCAGTCCATAGAGAAAGAAAAATGAACTAGACAAGTTAATACAGGACTTTTGGCTCTAAATAAATTATCTTTATTAAATAGATCTTTGGAGAATTCAAGCAAAAACCACTATTCATTAAGAAAAATGCTTAGAAAATATGGATTCAAAAGCAAACAAACTTTCCTGAAATCCTGTCTTCACTGCATCAGGAAGACTGGTAAAGAAAGCATTAAAATAAACTGTACTACAAGTTACCAGAACCTGCATATTGATGGTAAGTGAAGCCTGAGGTGAAGTGATAATTATTTAATACTTCCTATAGAAGTAATAACTACATACTTAAAATAAGTAACAAGAAGTTGAAGACAATACCAAATCTTTGGAGATAATATGAAAAGACAGATGGGAGCTCAGAGATAAGGGGGGGTGGGGAAGAATATTTATTGAGTATTTACCAAGTGCCAGGCATTGTTGTTGGCTTTACATGCATTATTACTTCATTTAATCCTTAAAACAACTACAGAAGTTAAGTATTATTAACATCATTTTAGCGATGAAGAAACTGAAGGTCAGAGAGGTTAAGTGATTTGTCCAAAGACACACAAATGGTAAAGGGTAGAGGTAATTTTTTAACATATGTCCCTTCATCATTTCTCTCTGCACTAGTGGAAGCTTAGTTTGTCCTCTAAGTTGACTGTATTTTCACGCGTCCTAAGCACATCAAGCAACAGAAGTTTGCATTTGGGGGAAAATCTGCAAATGATCTGCTCTTAGCTGTTGAGTAAGTCATCAAAGCAGTAGTATTCTTAGGGCTGAGGGTTTTAAATGAGAAAAGCTGTGGGATAGACCTTTGAGAGGACCTAATGCTGATGGACAAGAGGAGGAAAGAACTGCCATGGAGAGTCAGGGTGAGTGACTCAGGGATGGAGAGGGGAGCTGGGATTGACTTAAAGGAGGTAACCTGGTAACAAGAAGAGATATTTCTATTCAATTGTTTGTATGCAATGTGAACTTACAAGAAAGGAGCCGAAGAGAAATAAAATGATAGCAGTGTGTTCTAAAATTGTAAATATGGAGAGAGAAGAAAGAATAAAGTGTTAGGCTGGGTAGAAGAGATTCAGAACTAGCAAACACCCAAAGCTAGAGAGGCAGATAGCTATATAGGCAGGCCTATCCAGTGGCAAAGTTGTAATAGGAAAATTATGTCTGCCACTTTCTCTCCTTCTTTGCCTCAAGTCCTCTAATGCCCACTATCCTCAAACTGCTTTCTAACTTGTTAACTGGTATAAGAATAAGAGGTAATAAGGAGTTACAGTGGTGAGAAATCAGATTGCCCAGGAGCATGCACTTTAAATAGTGCTGATGCTCGTTAGGACCATTTTTAGAAAATCCAGATTTGAGAAAATCAGTAAGGGAATTGGAGAAGAGAAATGAAAACAAAGATGCTAATGAACTAGAATGGATTGAGCATAAGGAATATGAGATATAAATAGTACAGTTCTCCTGGGACAAAACTAAAGCTGTCATATTTTAATATAGGATGAAATTAAATATAAAACTTTTTGTAAAATAACCCAAATTCTTGCCCGGCCAGTGTGGCTCAGTGGTTGAGCATCAGCCCATGCACCAAGAGGCCTCTGGTTTGATTCGTGGTCAGGGCGTATGTCCAGGTTGTGGGCTCAATCTCCAGTAGGGGGGATGCAGGAGGCAGCCAATTGATGTTGATGTTTCTCTCTAATGTATGTTTTTATCTTTCTCTCTGTCTCCCTTCCTTTCTCTCAAAGATCAATAAAAACATATTAAAACAAGACAAAACAAAACATCAAAAAACAAATTCTCTCTCCCTGGCACTTCTTTCCTCTAGGAAACTAGGCTTTTCTGAGGCCATTGCTTCTCCTGCAACTTTCTCAAAGGGTGGCTGTTTTAGCTCCTACCTACCATGTAGCAGAGTCCAGAGGAGGAGAAAAGAATATGCGGGCAAGCTTCCTCCTAGGTCTTTAATGCCTTTCTCTTCCCTCTTCTTTCAAAACCCAGATCATCTGAAGAACAGGCCTTGGAGGGGATTATATTACCCTCCAAGTCTCCCTACTACTCCTTTTCATTCATTGAAGATTTGAGCAGCTAGCTCACTGTAATCTTCTTTACTACGGCTCCTGTTCCTATTTCTGTTGAACTCAAACTTCAAGTTATGCACACTGACACCTGGCCTCTCAGTTCTTGACCTCACTTTACACAAACTTTCCTCCATCTTACCAGTGACCAACTCACATGGTCATAGCCCAGACTACATCATTACCAATCTATATATATAAAAGGTTAAGTGTCTGTCCATCCTACCAGTAGCTATGACGTGCACTGACCACCAGGGGGCAGATGCTCAACACAGGAGCTGCCATGATGCACACTGGCCATTTAAAAATAAATGGCACCACAGACCTGGTGCCGACAAACCAACACTCGGCTTCCCCCAAGTGGGACACAGGCCCTGCCACCACCCCAGAGCGACACCCCACCAAATCGCAGCCAACGCTGCCAAGACCCCATGGTGCAAAATGCAGCCCACAGCCCAGCCCAGCCCAGCCCAGAAACAGTCACTGTGGGCGCCGGGTAATAATGCCAGGTAGCAACACCTGGCTTCCTCTCCCTAGCAATTAGCCTCCTTGCAGTTTTTTCAGCCCAGGAACCTGACTTATAGCCAGGTGCAAACATTTTACAGTTCAACCAAATGTTTGTGAAACATTTTCCCATGCCTCATTTCATTTGATCCTCATAGAAGTCCTAAAGTAGGTAGATAGGAGACTTGGTAGAATCCTATTTTCTCTTCATTAGCCGGAAAATGGAGATTTAGAAAGTTTAGAAACTTGACCCGACTGAAAAGAAGAAATGGTGGAATTTGAAAATGACTTCAGTTTTTCTCACTGTGCAGAATATAGTCAAACACTGCTGCAGTTAAATATTTTACCCTTTGTTCTCCCTGTGTGATCTACAATAATAATCTGCTTCGTGTTGATATTACTGCTGTGTTGCTGACAATTACCTGAAAGAGAAGTTGGGGTGCTTCATTGGGCTGGAAAAAGTTTAGCTAAATCAGAAAGCAGGTCTAATTAAGCAAGTTTATTCTATACCTATAAAAGGCTAAGTTGACTCACACATGCGCGATACATATAAAGCTCTCACTGGTGCCAATCGCTTGTGTGTTTCCATCTGTCATTGTCCATTGTGCCTTTGGTTGACACTTTTATTATAGAGAAAGGGCGAATAGCAACATTAAAATATTTCTTCTAATTAATTTCCTTTTAGTGTGCACGAATCCATGCACCAGGACACTAGTATCTGTATAAATCTCAATTCTAGTTATCCCACATCTCCTGTCCCTTAAGCTCATTTACTCTACTACCTACAAGGTTAGCAAGAAAATGGGGACCTCAGTTTTAAAACCCCAAGGAAACAGATTCTGCCAACAACAAATGAGGACCCTACAACTTAAGGTGAAACCACAGCCCTGGCTGACACTTTGATTTCAGCCTTGTTAGACTCTAAGCCAGTGGTTCTCAACCTTGGCTGCACATTAGAATCACCTGGGAATATTTTTTAAAATCCCTGATTTCTGGGCCTCAGCCTCCAGAAATTCTGTTTCTTTGTTATGGGGTGGGTACAAAAGAAACAGATTTTCCGGAGGATGAGGCCCGGAAATCAGGATTTTAAAAAGATTCCCAGGTGATTCTAATGTGCAGCCAAAGTTGAGAACCACTGCTCTGGGACTAACCACACAGATCTGCCTCCGGGGACACAGCTGAGTTTTAACAAGGGCGAGAGGTAAGTCTGATAGCAGAGGGCCTGCAGGCAGTCATACAGGCTGAGAGATCCAGGGCAGGAAGCAGAGACCCGAATTAAAACCCTAACAGCTGGGATAGAGCAAGAAAACAGATTGCAGACATAATTTCAAGACAGAGTTAATAGGGGTTAGTGACTTATTGGATATTACAGATGAAGAAGAATCTAAAGGCAACGAGGATAAGGTTGTCCCCATTAATACGAGGCTATTAAGGATTGAGAAATCAGGTTTTGTATTTTTTGTTGTTGTTGTTTTTTTTTTTTTAAAGATGGAGGCTGAGAGGTAAGAGGGGGTCCTATTACAAGGAAGTCGACTTTGGTTAAATTGAGTTTGAGGTGCTTATGGGACATTTGTTAGACATGTCCAGAAGACACTCACAAATACAGCCTAGGGTTACAAAAGGACGTCCGGGAAACAGGGACAAGGATGAAGGAATCATTGGTATTTTAGTGGTGGTTAAAGCCTAGAGAATGATGTGCCAAGAGCGGAGGAGAAAGGAGGGGGGTGGGGAGGGTGGGGCGGGGATCATTAGTTTGGCTTTTGCAAGGGACAGAGTTGCTGGGCTCCTTAGAACTGCATCCAACGAGTGGTCGGGGGCAGACGAGACACGGAGGGGGACCAGCGCAACCCCCCTCTTCTGGCAGCGCCCCAGCCCCAGCAAACGTCCAGTTGAGAAGCCGGGGTTCACTTCCACCCACACCTCCGCGGCACAGGAGCTCCCCTGCTAAGGTCCTCACTCCAGAACCCGCGCGGAGAGTACAGCCGAAGGACACACAGCTACGAATCCCCAACCTAGTCCCGGGGAAGGAGGCGGCGGGGCTGACCGAGAAGCGTGGCCAGGCCCGGGGACCCTTTGCCCACGGACTCCACGAATCTGGCCGACCTCCCCGGGCCCTCAGCAGCCAATTCCACTCACTTCTCGGAGGGTCCGGCCCAGCATAGTCTTCGTGTCCAGCCTGCCACCACAGGGGCCGGGTGACAGGGAGGAAAAACAAAGGTCAACAACAGCTACGGGGAGTACATGGGCGCAGCCATCTTGGCTCGTCACTGGACCTTTCAACACCGAGTCCTCCCATTGGTCGGATTGCAGCCCGAGGAAATGATCTCTGCACGCGATTGGTTGGCGCCGTAAGGCACGTCCCGCGGCGGCGGAGAACGGCTGGAAAGGAGACTCCGGGCTGGGGTCGCGGTGGGAGTCTGGAAGCGTCTGTTTCTCTGTGGCGTCGGGTTCGCGAGCGGAGTCCGTCGGTCCCGCCGAGTGCTCCCGAGGCGGGGCAGAGTTCTAAGGGTTTTGACTTTGGTCTGTTTTTAAGGGGAGGGGGTGTGAACAGGGAAGAGAATGGACAGGATACTGACTGGAACGTTAATTGGAGCATTTCCTAAGCGAAGAGCCATCTAATTCCATATTCTTCTCCCTTCATTTGCTCCATTAGGGCTAACTTCATTTCTGAATCCTCCGTGTTGAGATCGTACAGTGCGTTTGGCCTGTTTCAGGGGTGACAGGTTAATCCCATCCCCGCGCATTTTAATTAGGGCACGCCACTCAACCACGTGTTAGCGATGGAATTTCTGAAGACTTGTGTGCTTAGGAGAAAGGCATGGACCACGGTTTGCTTCTGGAGAAGCCAAGTTATACAAAAGCTTTCCGTTAGAAAGATCGGTACTACCTCTCCGAGGAGCACTGTCATGCCCGCGTGGGTGATAGACAAATACGGGAAGAATGAAGTGCTTCGATTCACTCAGAACATGAGGATGCCCATCATACACTATCCGAACGAAGTCATTATCAAAGTGCACGCTACGAGTGTAAATCCCATAGATGTTAATATGAGAAGTAAGTTTGGAAGACATTCCTCGTTATTATATATATATTTTTTGTTTTTCTTAAGAGAACTTCATCAGGGATCAGTAATTTTAAAAGATCAATCGTTATTTTAGTATACTTCTTTGGCTAACACAAAGGAATTGTTTAGGTTCTTGACAGTATGTCAGCAGATAGTTCCAAGATGTTTGAAATTGCAGTGCCCATGGTGTACTCTAATCTTTTGCAAAATGTAAGTTCGAATTGCTTCCAGGCTTCCTTAAAATGTAAATTGGGACTCCAGAGTTGTGTCCGCAGCTAGCTTTCTGGTCTCCTCTCCTGGGGATATTCTGAGGTGTATCACAGGTTTCAGAGGTACAGTTATGTTTTCACATCAGTTCAGAATTTGCATTTTTGTAATACTTCTTTGCTCTCTCACCGTTCACAGCTTTCTTATTTCTTCAGAAATTCCATCCTTGCCAGGATATGGACACAGTACTTTCCTCCTTTCTGCTGATGCATTTGGCCTCAGCAGTTAAAATACACTTTTCTGTTATCCTAAGTGGGAACAGTGTTACTGTATCTTAATTTCTTCTGGGATATACTGACAAAGATTGAAGAGCACTATGATTCCTTAAATATATACCATGTAATTATAGTGCTGAAAAAATTGATTACTATTTGTGAATAACTTTGGAGAGTAGTGACAAAAATATTGCTTATGGGAACTTATTCATGTCTTCTGAAAAAGTAAAAAAAAACCATCTGGGATGATTGATTGGTCAGTTAACCTCAGTGTTCTAAACAAGCTTCCATATGAGTATAATTTTATCACGTGTCTGTGTTTTGAAGGCCTATATGTAGACCTGCAGTCGGATTGCCTCAATAACAATTGTGCAGGGTGGGGCCAAAGTAGGTTTACAGTTGTATGTGAAATACAGTTTATTCTTGTATTACTTATTAATTATTGTGTTATTTTCTATACAAACAACTTAAACCTATTTTTGCCCCATCATGTATGTGAACTATGCATGATGAATTAAATTTCTTTCATATATGTATATATCTAATAACAAAATTAAGATTAATTTAGAGTGAATCATTTTGTGGAATTTAGAGAGAAATATGAAAGAAGTTGAAACTTTGACTTCTTTAATTCCTTCCTCTTTGTTTCTAGGAGTTGTGTGATAGAGTAGAATAGCAACTCTCGATTTTTGTGTTCTTAAGATCTCTTTACATGCATAATAATGATTTGGCTTTTGTTTATGTGAGTTATAGCTATGAATATATCTCCCTTGTTAGAAATTAGAATAAGATAACTGGATCTTCATATGTATTTCTGTATTCAGTCTGTCGCAATGTATCCATGATTTTAAGTCAGGAATTACTGTGTTTTTGTTGTTCACTTTGACATAATAATTGCTACCATTACGTGGGCATATTGTTTTATTTCATTTACACTGGATGTGAAGATAATTTAGTTTTTATAGGATATGTCTTTAAGTGGTTGTTTTACATCCAATGATAAGTGTTTATACCCAATGATCAATGAGTATAAATTGTGAAGGTAGGTTGTATACTCTGTTAACAACTAACTCTTTCAGTACAGTACTTCACATATGTGGTTGTCATGCAGTCATTATTTTTATGGCATTTTACATTTTCACTCTAACTTAAGATTACAAACTAAAATTAGCAGTATTTTATCCATGAGCATTATTTACATTTGTCTTCATTTAGAACTGCTAACTTTCATTTCTTTGAATGCACCTGCATAATTTGTATTGTGTACATTTCAATTTCAGTAGAATGGCTGGATCTGGACTTTCTTTGCTGCTATTTAATAACAAAATATTGTAACATTTTACTTTTATATAGTATTCTTAAGACATCTTAGTTTATGATTTGATTGGACAATATTATTTGCAAGTTACTCTCTTTATGTCCTGCTCATGGATTCTTTTTTGAGAATGTGCAGTTGTTGTTGCAGGAGGTATCTGAAATGGTAGCTTGGGGAAATAGTAACAACTAGAAGCTTGTAAACTATAGGAAGCAGTTTTCCTTGACAAGAAAGCAAGGACATGCTATTTTCTTTTGAAAGATGAAAGTAGACTGTTTTTCTAGAGATGACCATTATTGTTGGACATAAATCATAACTTATATAAATGGCTAAATAAATTTATTTCATTTAAAAATATTTTATTGCCATCCCCCACCCATTTGGTAACCATCAACTTGTTCTCCAAATCTCTGGGTCCTTTCCCGTTTTGTTTATTCATTTGTTTTTTTAGATTCCACATCTAAGTGAAATCATACAGTATTTGCCTTTCTCTGTCTGAATTATTTCACGTAGCCTAATACCCTCAGCCCATCCATGTTGTCGCAAATGGCAAGATTTCATTCTTTTTTTCCTGCTGGATAATATTTCATTGTGTATATACTGTATATCTCACATCTTCATTATCTGTTCATCTGTTGATGGACAGCTAGGTTGCTTCCATATCTTGGCCATTACTAGGAATGCTGCAGTGAACATAGAATAATTTTAAAATAAAAAATACAGCCAACAACATCATACCAACAGTTTGGTTTTTTTAGGTGGAATTAAAGCTTTGAAACTGATGACAGATTTATGATTTTCCAAATTATTCCAATCAACTGGCCACCTCTAACAATGGGATGAAGCTCCTAAGGGCCCCCCTTTGTCATCAAACAGGTTCTCAGTTACTACCTACCAGCTACATTTTGGATTTGGGACTAGTTTAGCTAATACCTGTGAGCCGGGGCTATTCAGTTGATACATTGGCATATCACGGTGACCAAGAAAACGAAATAACTGCCCTGCAGGTCTGTACCTCAGAGAGGACTGAAGCCTTTTGCAACTCTCAAACAGCAGCTAATATTTGATATGGCTAAATGCCTACTTCTGTTGCTCAAACCACATAGGAATTTCAGTAAATAATTGTTTAAATGTGTTTTAATGGTAGAAGTGTAAGACAGGAAAAGTAAAACATGGCTTTTGTATTACATGTGAAGATTTTTTTTTCTTTCTTTTCCTGATAGAGTGCACACCTAACTAGCTAGATGACAAATGTGTAATACCAGCATGATGGCTTAGATTTTCTGGGACTATCCCAAGTTTCAAACACTTTCTCCCATATGTCTTTAATTAGAAAAACAGCTCTGCAAGCTACCCACCTGTTAGCACCTCTCCCTATATCTCCTACATCCCCTCTTGCTTTATAGGTTAATTGTCATTGTTGTAAGGCCAGCCCTCCACTTAGGTTCTAGATTCCATCTCTCAGCTCCTGGGGCGGGGGAGGTGTGGCGGGGTGGGGGGATTGTTTCAGCAATTCTCTCCTGCATCTTCAATCTTTTCTTTTCTACTGGGTCATTTCCATTAGCATACAGACTGCTACTTCTCCCATCTTAAAAGGGGGGTGCGGGGGAGAAACACATTGAAAAATCCTCTCTCCATCTCAGTTGCACCTCTCCACTGTCTCCTACTTCCCATTCTCTGTATCTCCATGCCACAGCAACTGCTCCTATCAAGGTCACCTAATGTACTACCCCTGAGAGTGGGTCGGGGAAAGGAGACTTATAGACTGGTTTAGTGATTCTGGAATTTAAATTGTGGTACATGACACTAGAAAGGTAAGCAGAGTGCTTATCTTAGAGAACTGCACGACATGTTCTCAAAAAGATGTCAAGTAGAGAGACAATTACAGATACTTTTGTGTCTTGGAAATATATATATATATAATTTATAATTATACATTTATTATTTTTTTAAATTGATTTCAGAGAGGAAGGGAGAGAGAGAGAGAGAGAGAGAGAGAGAGAGAAACATTAATGATGAGGGAGAATCATTAATAGGCTGCCTCCTGCACATCCCCTACTAGGGATCGAACCCGCAACCCAGATGTGCCCTGACCAGGAATTGAACCATGACCTCCTGGTTCATAGGTTGATGCTCAACCTCTGAGGCACGCCAGCTCGCCCATTTTATATATTCGTATTATTGTAGATAGAGTAGCCAACTTATTGAACCAAAAAATATGATCAGAATGTTTTCAGCTCTACTTAGCTGATATTTATGTAAATGTTCTTAAAAATAAATGGATATGTATAATAAAGCAATTAACTTGATTTAACGTATTAGAACAGGTGCAGATGAGTGGTTCTTTTTCACTGGAGAGTAGATCGATGGGCTTAATCCGTAGATGTTCTGCAAACACTTTTTGGGAGGTGGGGGCCATTACTTATAGACCAATGTCAGTGTCAAATATAACTATGCCTTATTTATTGGTTTATTAACTTCAAACAGCTTTAGGGTTTCTCTTCTTCACCAGACTGGGCTCCAAACAACTTTGTTGTTTAAAAAGCTTATGAGTGAATACATTAAAGAAACTGTCTTCAAAGAACAAACTAAAACTATAAGAGAAAATACCGAAAGTACTGAAGGCAGTTTCAAAATTGAATTTTAAACATTTTGAGCAATGGTAGCTTTGGTTTAACAAGTGATTATAACTTTCCAAGTAATTTTCTTTGAAAGGAACAGCACTCATTCTTTCATTTTGTTTCTTTTTTATTGAATTTATTGGGGTGACATTGGTTAATAAAATTACATAGGTTTCAGGTGTTCAGTTCTGTAAAATATCATTTGTATATTGTATTGTGTTCACCACCCCAAGTCAAGTCTCCCTCCATCACCATTTATCCCCCCTTTATCCATTTCTGCCTCCCACCCCCCTTTGGCACTCATTGTTTTTATGATTTTTTGTGTGGTGGCAAAAAATAAAATTATAAATTTCATTAATTTATAATCTACATCCAGAGTATCTAGAATTGTACCTGGCCTATACCCCGTAGTAGTTTTTAAATCATTACATTCTTTTGGAAGAAACAGATAAAACTGTATTTTATAGGTGGTTATGGAGCTGCAGCTTTAAATATGAAACGTGACCCTTTACATATTAAAATCAAAGGAGAAGAATTCCCCCTGACTCTGGGTCGGGATGTCTCTGGTGTGGTGATGGAATGTGGACTTGATGTGAGGTACTTCAAGCCTGGAGATGAGGTGAGTTATAGAATACTGCTATTCCCTTTCTAAGTATGCAAATTTCATTCTGCTTTTGGAAGTATATTCCATGTCAGTGACCTTTCCTCTTCTTTCCAACAAATATACTGAGCTTTGGCCGGAACCCTTATTTTTTTATCTCTGTTATTCTTGGTTCTGGCAGAATAGCTTGACTGCGCTCAAGTGTTCTAAATCTAGTGCTTAAAGATTGCAGGACTTGATGTGTGATTGGGACTGTTTTTCTTTTTATTGAAAGAATCTTTAAGTGACAATTTCTACCTCATAGGCTAGATAGTTTTAAAATTGCTGAAGTTTGGTATAATCACCTGTCACTTGTCACTTTGAATTTTTACACCAAGAAATTAAAGTGAGTTCATAATTATAGCTAACACTGATCTTGTTGCTTTTCATAAAATAATTCTTTAATCTCTATGTCGTAAGTACAGTTAGGCCCACTTTACAGATGGGGAAACCAAGCTATACAGCTACACAGAAGTTCCACAGCTGGTAAGTGGTAGAGCCAGGATTCATGCCCCAGAGACTGTGCTCTTGGTGGTATTTTAAAGTATGTAGTCAGTAAATACAGCGGGATTTACTGGCATCTGCTTCCAGTGTGGCTTGACTTGATAAGTGCAGAAGCTTACTAAATAATACTTTTATATCATGTAAAAATAACTTTTGGTTGTTGTATTGCTGACTTGTGCTTTTTTCATTGGGTGGAGTATGTATTGGGGACTACCCTCCTGCTTAGCTTTGGTAAAAAAAAGATTTGTTTCTAAGGAAGTTGTGTGTGTGTTTCAGGTCTGGGCTGCAGTTCCTCCCTGGAAACAAGGCACTCTCTCAGAGTTTGTTGTAGTCAGTGGGAATGAGGTAATTCACCAATTTTGTGCTGAAATGCCATTAGAAAGTACAAACAAGACTGACAGATATCTCTGAAATAATTGTGGGTTTTTTTTTCAGATCAGGTTCATGTTTAATGGGTAGGTTTAAAAGAGCTAAGATATAGAATAGGAATTTTTGAAAGATTAGAAAAGTATTTGATGTCATTTAATAACACTGCCTGCCAAAGTGGTATCTTTGTCTTGTGGAGCTGGGACTTGGAGTGAGATCTTGAAACCCTGCTGTGTTTCTTGGTTTTACCCAGTGTAAGTAGTGGAAACCAAATACACCAAATGGAGTGTACTGGTTAATTATAAACAGAAGCATGGAAGTATCAAATTGTTTCAAGTAACCTTAAAAACAGGAGTCTAATCAAACACAGTCAGGAAGTCTGACAATTTGAATAGAGAGAAAGGGGTTAACATTGCGGAACTTGGCTACAGAAGGGAGGGTATGGAGGGAAGAAGGGATATTACTAAGATTAGAAAAAGTCTGGAAAGATTACCTTCCAGTAAATGGGAGTAAAGGAAACAACTGATCTAAAAAAAGCAAATTACAATGTGTTTATGAGGGCTCAAGGTTTATTTGGATTTATTTCTGTGTTAGTCAGGACTAGTGGGATTATTGAATGTGGCCTCTTTATGAATTAAGCAACTATATCTGATAATGTAGCCTGTAAAACATTACTGAGCCTCTGACCCCAGGAGGGCAGGTTGAGTCATTTGGAGAATATTCCTTAGGGATAATCTTAAAGTAGGGTATGTAATAAATACTGAACCTGGCAGAATATTATAGACTTATTTATGAGAATGGTTGGATTCCTGTGAAGGTAAATGTATTTAATTGCATTCATAGGTTTGTAAGTCATTGCTTATTTGTTACTGTTATCTTCAAATCTAGGTCTCTCACAAGCCCAAATCACTCACTCATACTCAAGCTGCCTCTTTGCCATATGTGGCTCTCACAGCCTGGTCTGCCATAAACAAGGTTGGCGGCCTGAATGAAAAAAATTGCACAGGAAAACGGTAAGTATCAATGGTGGCATCAAACCTTCTCCCTTTCCTTTTGTAAGGTTTTTGCCATAGATTATCAGAAGCATTAAAACTAGGATCACTTACATGAGCAGAGTTGTGCTGACATTTAAAACAATTTCCAAAGAACTCTATTTGTGTCATTTTGTACTTTCTTAACTTTATTCTATTGATTCTTAGTTCAATCAAATGCAAATTTTAAAATTGAAATGTATAGATGGGCTTTAGGACTCTGAACCTTCCAAAATAATGCAAAATTTTATGTGACACTCTGGGAAGAAGGTCTGTAGCTTTTACCTGATTCCTAAAAGGGTTAAGAATCACTTTATATAATTTCTAAAGAAAGGTGCAGGTATTTTTTTCCTACCTCTACTAGGAGTTGCTCTCTCATACTTGTGAACGTCTATGAAAAGCAGATAGAAAGAGAATGCAAAACACTGCTGAATAATCTTGAGTTCTCTTAGCTCAATGCTTGGTATTCTTTAGGTTAATTCTGGTGCTTCAAGGCCTTGAAAGTAATGCTTGTTTAAGTTAGCAACAATAGTGAGTAGAAATATCTTTGATGAACTTGAGTTCAAATTCAGATTCTGTTGCTTTCTAACTGGGTGGCCCACTTGGTCACTTCTCCTCTGTGAGTTTGTTTTTAATGAGATAATACAACTAAAACTAGTGGCACAGGTTGTGACACATGGGAGCCACTCAATAAATAGTGGCTACTGTTATTAGCAATGAGATTATATTCTTTGTATCTTGGAAAGTTGTTATCAAAGGGAAAACTGATGAAAACTAGGTACTAAGAACCATTTAGTGGTTGTGATGAGGGAGAGAGCTATAGGTCAAATTTTAATAAATTACAATAACTTAGTTTTTGATTGCTAAGGATTGTGCAGATAAAATAACTGAAGTCTGTGCCATTTCATACTCGTGGTGTTGTGAAACATTGCACTTTACATTTAATGTGTTGAGTTACAGAGCATTGGATTTCATGAAAGCTGTATTCCTGAAAACAGTGTGAAGGCTATTCATCTAATGAGGTGCTACCCTTTATCGTAGAATTCAAAGCAAATATTTATTCTAAAGGTCAACCATGTTTATTTTTTAAGCTTTGAGGCTTATCTTTCTTGAAGTTGCCATTTTGGCTCAACACTTTGTTTAAATTAAATTAGTTTGACCACATGGATTTTTCTAATGACTTGTCATGGTTAATAACCTTGCAAAAATCTTATTCAAGATTTTTAGACCTTTATTATTATTGTAGGCTCTGCATTAACACTGATGCTTTATTGTTTTGTTTTTCCTTAAAAGTATTATACTTTCTATGCCCACATGACTATGTGGTTAAAGATCTGTCATTCTTTTTGCTAGTTTGGGGCTCTCCAGGCATACTTTTATTTAGTACCCTGAAGAAAACAATTTAGAAACAGATCTAACTCTCTCTTCTCAGATACACAGATTTTATTGTTGGGTTTCTGGGTAATTCTTAGATACTGTGTTATCTTTTATCTGACCAATAATGGTTTGGAACTGGGGAAGTAGAGCCCTGGGTTCTATTGTCCATTCTGCTGCTAACTAATCAGGCAACCACATGCATGCTATCTATGGTCTCTTCGCACTTTCCTCCAAGGTACTGAATGTAGGACAGTGTAGGTTGTTAGGAGAGCTGTGAGAAGTGGAAAGTTTTATCCCCTATAAGGTGATTATATATTATATTGAGTTGGGTCTGTTCACTAATTTAGTCACATGTTAACCAAACCAGAGTGTATCTGTTGTGAAGAGCCTCACTAGTTCACATCATAGACTTCTGCCACATTCCCGCGTGCATGGTGACCTAGGATGCCTTTGTTCCAAATGGCAGTGAGAGCTTGGCCCTGGTGCTCTAAGAAATTTTAGTTTATGGAAATTACTACACATGGGTGGTAATAATGGCCTACCTCTCCAACTTCTTATTTGTGAGAAAAACATGAGAGTGTTAATTAAGTGCCTTAAAATACCGTGAAAAATACTTCTACATGAAGAAATTACTACCAGAGTGGGATTTTACTATACATAAACCCAGAGGTTCCAGAGTCCAAAGGGACTTCTCTAAGCAATAATTCTTTTTCTGTTAGCTATTGGCATTAAGACACTCTTGAGTTTGCACAAAACAGGTCAGTGTTTGTTATTAAGGACTTAAAGTCTGTTTTTATTTTCATTATTATTTTTTATTGAATTTATTAGGGTGACATTGGTTAATAAAATTATATAGGTTTCAGGGGTACAATTCTGTAATACATTATCTGTATATTGTATTGTGTGTAAAGTCTGTTTTTCTAACCAGTTAATTAAAAAACAAAACCCAGCAATGATAAAAATACCCATTAGCACCTTGGGAGTAATGACAAACAGCATTTTGAAATTAAGACAATGCTTTCTAAGAGTTTGATGGTGTTTACCTTTTCCTTTTAGTTATATAATTAATTTTTGCAACAACTGAGCATCAGTGAACCAAGGGGATAACTTAATATTAATGTCATATAAAATGTCATTTTTGCCCACACTTTGGTATCACTAGAAAATGTCAGGTGAAATGATTTCCTTCTTACCTGCCCATCATAGTTCCTTCATGATTTATTCAGTAGGAACACATAGATAACTTAGTGCTATTAAAATGAATACAAACTTTTTTAAAAGTGCTAACACTAGATATATATTTTTTAATATATTTTTATTGATTTCAGAGAGGGAGAGGGAGAGAGGGATAGAAACATCAATGATGAGAGAATCATTGCTTGGCTGCCTCTTGCACGTCCCCTTCTGGGAATCGAATCCGCAACTCAGGCATGTGTCTGTGACCGGAATCGAACCTGGGACCCTTCAGTCCGCAGGCCGACGTTCTATCCACTAAGCCAAACCGGCTTGGGCAACACTAGATATTTTTTAAAGCAGTCTGATTTGATGATTATATTTATTAGTAGTGTCATGGTCCACCTTGAATATTTCATGCTCTTCCTGAAATTCATCTCTTATTGGGAAAGTTGTACTTTACTCTGTTAGACGGAAGTATTAGAAAGTGTTAGAAATTGAACAATTCCTCCTCCACAAAATAAGTTTCACTTTTAAATTGTATGTACCTGAAACTCAGTGCAGTGAATTTAGGAATGCTTTTCATTGTTTCCTTTGATATCAGGCTTCATGACAGTCATATTTTGTCAAGTAAGGTTAAATTAGGTATCTGATTAATTCTGTTTATAGAATTAGACAGGCTCAAACTTAAAAACACTGGATTTCCCCCTCTTCCCCAATATGCTTATATCGGTAATCAGAACAGCTTCCTTTTTTCAGATGCCTTCACCTGCCTGTTATTCACCCCACCACCCCCCTGTTTCTCCCCTCTCTATTTGCACCACCCCTGTGGACTTTGGGTTTTTATTTGCACTTGACTAGGTTGTATAGTTAGAGGGGCAATGGGAGGAGAAAGAAATTCTTGCATTTTACTTGCTGAAAGAAATTGTGGGGTTTGGAAGAGGAGAAGAGGGAGAGTGGAGGCTCTGGCCTGGCCAGTGTGATGCAAATGAATCTGGCCTCTACCCCTGGACTGCTCTTCTAGAAGCTGCAGGACTCAGCTAAATGAATTAGTAGAAAACTTTTTCCTGGAAATTTGTGTTTTGCAGATTCGTTTTCTAGGTGGCAGGCTAACTATCTTGTGAAGTATAGAAATCATTTACTTTTCAATGCACCATAATTAGCTTCCAGCCTTGCCATTCAACTGCAGCTGTTCTCATGGGGTCATAGCTAAGTTACCGACGCAATGATACTTTTCAGATATATATATATATATTACTGATTTCAGAGAGGAAGGGAGAGGAAGAGAGAGACGGAAACATCAATGATGAGAGAGAATCATTGATCGGCTGCCTCCTGCATGCCCCCTACTGGGGATCTAGCCCACAACTCGGGCATGTACCCTTGACTGGAATTGAACTCTGGACCCTTCAGTCCTCAGGCTGACACTCTAGCTACTGAACCAAACCAGCTAGGGCCTTTTCAGTTCTTACAATTTGAACTCTGAAGTATCTGGCACCATTGACCACTTCCTTAATGCTCACTTTTCCCATGGTTTCAGGGACACCAGGCTCCTATAATTTTCCTCTTGCCTTTTTGACTAGTTCTTATCATTTTTAAAGCCTACCCTTCCCCTTTCTTCCTGTTACTCTTTTCCCTGTGTCCTAATCCATCATTCCTGTATCCCAGGATTATCTCATCTACTCCCACTTCTATATATTTTGGTAACTTGCAGATTTATGTTTATAACCCCAACTTCTCTACCCATGTCCCCTTTGTATCTGAAACTCAACTTGAGCAAAACAAGACTAACTTATCACCCTGGCTTCCTATAGATTCCTAATGTTAGTGAACTGATTTACCTTGAGCCAAAATCTGATAATCATTTACAAACCCTGCTCCTTTCCATTCCGCTGTACAACTCTTTATGTTCATGTCATGTAAAGTTTAGGATTGTCAAATTTGGAAAAACATCTTTAAAATTTCTTTAATATATGAGCTATAGATTGTGAGGCATTTAAGGTTTTCTCCTGCAGTGAATAAGCCTAACATACCTTTGCATTTTAACCGATAACCGTCATTAACTAATTGTTGTTGATGTCTTCCCTATAGTGGTGTCAAATAGCAAAAGTAATACATTTTAGTAACCAGTTTGATGTTCTTTATTCAAGGGAAGGCATTCCATGCATTGGGGAAAGTCAGTGTCTCACAAGCAGTGGGGTACTCTTCCCGATTTTGGACAAGAGCATGTTTTATAGAAGTTAGAAAAGGCAACATGGAAACGGAGTGATTGGTGAGGAGGTCAGTGATTGGTGAGGCTCAGGGGTCCTGCTTTCTAGGATAGGGTAAGCCAGTGAAAGCTGAATTGGAGGATTGTGATTGCTTTTATGTTTCCTTGGCAGCGATGCATTTCCCATAAATGCAAGCTGACTTAGGTTTAGATTTGTGATGTC